CCTCTCTGTCAACGCTCTCTGGTTTCATTTAAAAGAGTCGATCATCAGATATTGTCCAAGATTAACCTTCAAGGTGGATATAGCTCGCTCACACCAATGACCTATCCACATCATCATTTACCCAGAATGCTTTGTGTGTAAATAAAATGGCTCCATCCGGGTTAAAATATATTTTTTAAAATTTACAAAACTAAACAGCCTACAGTATTTTTACAGTCTTTATTTTACAGTTAAAATAAATGTTCATCGAATAAAGTCAAATGTTACAAGTGATCGTGGATCCCTTTAATTTAGTGGTGGTTGTGGTGGTGATGGACGGGGTTAAGCAGAAAGAAAAATGTTATTGTTTCTAATCCACTGTAGAGTGCCATGTTGCTAAAGCTGTCACAATCTGCRCTGCTCTAAATAAAAAAACAACGCTTACCATGGCCGGGATGTAAGGAAGGCCTGGTGGCCCGCCAAGGCTATAATACACAGGGGGAAACCCTGTCCATCTTATTCATTATACTCCACAATAAATAAACATACATAGCAGGGACCCATTGCTTGTGTTACATAATCTCATGCTTCACCATTAGTTCACGTGGGGAGCGGGGGGAGGGGGTCTTTTTAGAAGTTACCAACAAAAATATTCATAAAATACAACAAAACAATGGAAATACTATTTAATTTCCTTTAATAAACATGTTTATACTTGAATACTTGGCACAATGTTGCTATTTTCTTTCAGGCCACCAATGAATTTGGGGGGGCAGCAACACATTTCCCTCTCTAGATGAGGGACCAGATCACTGTGCTATACTATGCTGACTCAGTCGCTCCTCTGCCATCGTTTTGTGGTGAAAATGTGAAACTTTTATGTGTAAAAAGTGTCATTATTTGTCTCATTAGAACTGTGCATCAATGTGATGTTAGTCCTTTGTGTTTTTGTCATATTTAAAGTGTAGGTACACCTATCCATGGTGTCATGGTGTATGCTTTGTACACTGTGGCATCGGAGTCATATGTGAGACTTTTGACTGACTTGCTGATCAGGTGGAACAAAACATTCTGCAGCCTCTGACGTTTAGACGGTGCACGTACACTCATTCAATAACACAAGTGTTGGGTTGAGGAAACAGCGACAAAACTACATAAGCTAGGTCAAAAAGTGTAGCGGTTTGATATTAGCTTACTGTAAATGCTCTGTACTTGTATTTAGCGACTCCAAACGCTTCACAGCACCATCGTTTACCCACACATTCATAAAGCTCATCAGTAACATAGCATTCTTTCACACCRGTTTGTTGTTTGTGAGTGTAAAATAATTTACAAGCCTGATAAATGACATCTCTCATTTAGCTAACAGTTAGCTTAGCCTGGAGGAAGGCTTCTGCTTTTTTCTTTATATCCATTCTTTATAAGTAATGTCAAGGCTGAGAACTACTTACTACTGAAAACATAACTTTAAAAATGATCAAGCTATCAGGTTGGTTATATCAGTGTTTCTCAAAGTGGGGGGTGCTGGGGGGTGGGGCTCAGAAATCTGGATGGAAGATGAGAAAAAAAGCAAAAATAAATAAAATGTTTTAAATCATTATCATAAAACCCAGTCTGGTTTTCAGTCATGATTTTAAAATGTTATTTAAGAGAGCTGAAACAGGGTTGATATGTTTAACACATTAGATAATAAAAGTCTTATACTAAACACATGTAATAAGTAGTTAATAGTGACTAAAAATGAGAACAACCATTCTAAAATTTTATGTGTTTTTGTACATATTTTGTAGCTTTAGTTTTGGGGTTTGTAAGTGGGGTCCAGCATGCAAAAGTTTGGGAACCTCTGGATTATATCTGGGAAATACTGATGTGACTGTTGCTGTTTCCCCTCTAGACTCTGTTTCTCTTCTGTTTTGTTTCGTTTGTTCGTCCTCTCCAGCAGCATGTTGTGTCCTCACTTCACCTTCGATGACAGTTTTGGTCCTGCTTGTTCAACTTTCATCCCTTCCTCTCTTCTGTCTCTTCTCTCCTCTCCTTGGAAACATCAGGCACCAAATGCAAAACCCTCAGTACTGCCCGTCCTCTGTCTCCGTGCACTGCTCCCAGGTTCCACACTCGATCGATACCGGTCACCCCCTCTCTGCCCAACATCTTTGACCCCTGATCTCCCCCCACCCCCACCCCCACCGTTCTTGTCATCTCCTCTTTAAATTTGCCCCACGGTTAAAGCCAACCCTCAACTTTTTCAAGCTGAACTCCTTCACTCCCACGTCCGACCAGTAATGTTCCCTCTCCCTGCATTCTGCCCTTCCTCTTCTCACCCAACCCCTCCCTCATCACCCCCCTCCCCTCCCCCCACCGCCCTCCTCTCTCGATCCAGGTGAATTCGGCGAGGTGTGCCGCGGCCGTCTCAAGCAGCCCGGGCGCAGGGAGATGGTGGTGGCCATCAAGACGCTGAAGGCGGGCTACACGGAGCGCCAGAGGCGGGACTTCCTGGCGGAGGCCTCCATCATGGGCCAGTTCGACCACCCCAACGTGATCCGGCTGGAGGGTGTCCTGACGCGAAGCTGCCCCGTCCTCATCATCACAGAGTTCATGGAAAACGGAGCGCTGGATTCCTTCCTCAGGGTGAGCCGTGGCACCTCACACGGGTTGTTGCTCGTCTGACGGGGCAGATCACTTCCTGTCGGTGTGGAAGCTGAGAGGAACACACAGTCACAGCACTACCTTTGGGTTATCGTAATGTTTTAGTTGGTGTAAAACACCCCGAGGCACTCGGCGTCTTCAGCTGATGTGACTGAGTGATGTTGACGGGCTTTCCCTCGCAGGAACTCCTGGTGGAGAACTCGTCACACACAGACCTTTGGATAGTTTTGTGTTAGGGACCGCAGAGTACACCCCCCCATCAGAGCGCTCTGTTCAGACCGAGGCGCCGACGCAGAGCTGAGTAATGAGGTGTCACACATTTCAGCTGCGTGGGGCTTTTACATGTCATTTACATTCAATAAAACACGTTCTCACGCGTGGCTAGAGCCGTCTGTTCGCTGGAGCCGTGAGTCTAAACGAGGTCATTTAACAAACTGCAGCTGCACTGTGTTCTCCCTAATACTGAAGTCAACTCATCCTCACTTCATTCAGTTTCAGTGGCTTTAGTTTTTATTTTTTACAAGTTCCATAAGATTTTATAATGTTTTACAGCAGTTTGTCTCGTTTATGACAACTTCAAGAGATGTGAGATCAAACGTCTAATGATTACTCTCTAAGATTTGTATTAAACTGTTCATATTTCCATTAGATATTGGCTCTGTCTCAATTCATGAGCTGCATCCTCATGAGGGAGAGTCTGTCAGCTGCTTACATCACTGCCTCTCACTGAGTGCTGTCCCAATACAAAGGCTCCTCCTCATATGGCCAACAACATCTCAAAAATCAAGGCTGCATCTGAGTATCCTTCCCAGGATATCCCAGGATTCAATGTGCCGACAGCAAACTAAACAGAACAATGACAATGATGTTTTTATATTATTTACTAAGTTGGCGTAGTTTGGAAATTCATCACAAATTGAAAATTTGTTTTTWAATTTAAGTTTAGCAACTTAGCTGATGAACTTCAGTAAGGTGGTATGTGACAATCCTCAATCACTGGGACAGCTGAGTTGACTCTTTTTTATTTAGAGATTCCAGTTCAAAGAATCACACTGTGAACCTATGGTATTCATTAAAAGGTAAATATATTTTAAGTGTATTTACACCAGGGAAGTTCTTTGGTCCACTTGTTTGGTCCGGACCAAATAACAAACTTTACAGGTGCTGGTCATAAAATTAGAATATCATGAAAAAGTAGATTTATTTCAGTAATTCCATTTAAAAAGTGAAACTTGTATATTATATTCATAC